ACTGAAATCAAGCAACTACGAGTGTTTAACACACTGATAAGCTTCAATCGACGGTTCATACCGATCTCCTCATTTCGACCGTGTTCATTTGGATTCGGTATGACATTTACTAGATTACTCTTACCTCCAATGGTCTAAATCGACAGAAGTTCATCTATCTTTGCCACTACAGTAATAGACCTAATTCCAAAATTGCAAATTTGCCATGATGTAACTACTTATTCCAAAAGGTATTCGTCAACTCAGATGGTTGGGTCACGTGTTACGCATGCCTGAACACCGACTACCACAATGCTCAGTGCTGGCTAGTGGTGGAGACGGATGGAAGAAAGTTTGGGACGGAAAAGCCAAGACATGGCATCAGTGTTTGAAGTCATTTCTAGTCTGAGCCATATTGGTAGAGGCAGATTACTCGGTTGGGGTCCGTGTGACTATCGAAACCAACTGTTGGAGACCAGAGTGACATGGCTTAGAATCGATCACAATGGTGTAGGTTCATACACTCTTTGTCTTCCCTCAAACCGTGGAATCAAAATTGCTTTATATCTTTCCTTCCACCAACTAATCCTTTCTTCCTGTACTATATCCCTATACACAATCTTTCTTTTATATATTACTACTATTGAAGTAACTACTTTATGAATTTGGTGTTCATCGTGTTGTGCTAATGAGGTGTGGAAACTTGGACCGATGCATATAGGTGACTGGTCCTACGTTGTAGCTAACCGGTTGACTGAAAAGATCTTACGATTAAACCATCTACATTGACCCATCCTAGCATGATGATCAACAATGTGATATCTAGCATTTCTAAACAACACGCTTGAGCTTGAAAGAAAGTTATATATTTGATACAAAAGGCAGGAGATTATAAGGAATGGTCGCGCCTAAATGATCGAGACATGCTATTTCGATTCCTTGTTCGCGCGTTCACTATTGTTGTTTTCCTCTTGCTGTTACATGTTAAATGTAGATCTCCTCAGAAATTATACGCTCAGATTCAAATGTCGTGTGGTTAGGAACCAATACCACTACGATATCATTACACACGGTGACCAGAAGCAGCACCTGTCAAAGGTATTAGTACTGGAAGAGTGGCTCATACCTTCATCAGACGATGGGTAGTAAACTTTGTCTGTCCTTCAACTATCACTATAGACCTTTGACGCCAATTTCAATCTGGGTTCTATCGTTATCTTACTACACTACTTGGAAGCACATGATTACAGGCGACCGTTTATCACTGTGATTATTAAAAGTAATTGAGCTATTTTATGAACTATGACTCCTCGAAATAGCGCAATTTAAACCAAACAGTACTAGGTGAGCGCAAACAAACGTATTTTATTCGGAATTAAAAATCAGGCAGGCACCAAGTACAAAAGAATCATTTATTAATACAAAGATTACAATCGTTGAAACTTATATTGTAATCTAGGTTTCTGTAATCGACCAAACATCTTTACTTTAGGCTTATCATGTGTCTGTCAGATTTTGTGTTGAGTACAAATTTCTGTCTGATCTAGAATGTACTCGTTAGCATTAGAATAAACGACTGAAATTGGAACTGACTCAACTGGGTCCTGGAAATGAACATGATCAGCATGTCGGTCTTGTACTGAAATCATTTATATCTAGAAGTTGGACTACAGATTTTGCAACACCAATCTTTCCCACGAAATAATGTTGGATCTTCACATCCACAAGTTATAAATAACGTGGCTTCATTTAAAACTTATTTCTCACATTGGCTATAGTATTCATTGGAAGTGACTTCATGATAAGGACGAATAACAGTAGTTATGAAATCATCCGAATTGTAATCAAAGTCAAGTTCATCTGTCCACCTCAGTCAGCAGGTTGGTTATACAGGAATAACCCTTTCTGAAACCATGCTGTTGGGGTGAGAGGAAATTTAAAGACAGTAAATAGTCATATATACCATCGCACATCAGGGACTCCATGACTTTTGAAGGTGTAGAGAGAAGAGCCACCGGTTGGTAACTTGAAGGTTCTCTACGTCAACCTCCTTTGAAAAGTGCTGTGATGTGAACTAGCTTCCAAGTTTCCGGTAGTTTGCCTCGGCTTAGAGAGTGTAGGGGCATCACTCTAAGCGGTGTTGCCAGGATTGAGGCTGCTTCCCTCAGTATAGCAGAATGAACCATATCTGGGCCAGGAGAAGTGTCTTTTCTTAGGTGCTGCAATTTCCGGAACATCAAGTCAGCGAGCAGGTTCACTTCGGAAAGTCCTGTGCAGTTGCAGATCAAGCTGTTATCAGTACAGTTGATATGGTTCGGTTGAAATGTCCGAGCGTATTGTTCAGCCAAGAGGTTAACGGCGTCGCCGTCGTTGTTGGTCGGGCCGTTAAGACATAGCAGTTGTGAAACTTCAGTTTTGGTTTGACGAAGAGTGGCCGTATAATAGAATAAGCTTTTCGGATTGGAGACAAGTTTATCAATAAGCTTTATCTGATACTGAATCCTGTTTTCTCTTATAGCCTTCGTGCATATGTTCCTTATATGTTTGTATTGCCTGTACGGGGCATTGTTGTCAGTTCGTTTGTGTTCTGCCCAGCAACTCAAGTGTAACCAAGGAGACTGACAATGTGCAACTAAAGGAATCAATAGGAACAAACTGCGAATGCATGCATGGAGGGATTTTTACACACAAAACACTCAAAATGGATCTTACACATGGTTGTGAACTTGATGTACCTCCAAGCAGGATCGTATGTGTACGGCTACTCCACTCCCAATTCCTATTGTTCTGTCGTTGCGAAACAAAGATACCCCAGGTATTGCTAGCTCCTGGTCCGTAAACTGAGAAGATATTTAAATTTCAGATATTCCTATCAGACGAGCATTATTAGCATTGCTAAGTTCACGTAGCCCATCCATTTTTTTAGTCCACTCGCGGCATTTATGTATATGCGGTTTATGCTTTCAATTTGAAACGCGTGAGATTCTTCATGTTTGTCTGTATGAGCCTTACATGAATGGACAGGTAGCATATCTACATGAGATTCGCCGAGTTGGTAGGCCCTGTCCTTTACACGTTTTTTTTATGACCCAGATAGTCCACAAATGGAATGGTCAGCTCCAGCTTGCCTTTGTGCTTGCTCCTGGCGTCATGTGGCCTATCCGGGTGCATATGGATTCCAGTTGGTAACCGACGTCTGTTGGCACGAAATTCTTCCAGAGTTGCAGGCGCCATATGGGAGGATGGAAAAGTTATCCTCATTAACCGGGGCCTAGAATCACTGTCCTTCTTTGCTAGTCTCGTCACATGTTGAGTCAGTATGTTTTTGAGCCTCAAGGACTGCTTGATGAATCTCCATTCCCTAATATCAGAGTTCACTTGACTAGGGTCCGTGTTTTCCGGTACACCTTGCACAATATTATCTCTTCCGCTGAAAAACTTCTCGCGAGATTCTTTAGGGATGCTCCGGATGAGATTGCGCTCAGAATACGGTATGTTGGGCAGTATTCCTACGTTCCCATCGGATTTCAGTAAATGACTAGTTAGCAGGACATCCTCAACGTCGTTAGCATTTTTAAGGGTTATACGAAGTAACTCCGGGTGATTTTGATGCTTAGATTCTTTTCCTTGAGCGAGCCGTGTGACCGTCAAAGGCTCTATTCTAGGAAGTTCAAGCTTCTTGTTCAATTCTTCCCAGAGCATTCCGTCATTTTGTCCTGCAAACTGAGAGGAAGGTCAGGATTGTCTTTGAGGTTCATGATTATTAGAGTCATCAAAAACCATTATTGTTTTCCTAGGTTTTCCGGTGCGTTCATGTTCAGCATCTTGTTGTTTGGAGGTTGAGGCACGTTTCTGAATCCTAGGCTTTTTGATGACCGGACGGACATTCTTGGGAGTAGACTGTGCGATCAAATCACCAGTTGACTTCCGTACAATACTTGGGATGTTCAGCTTAGACGGTGATGCCTGGTACTTTTATCTCTGCTAACGTGGGTTCAATCAATTACACAGTTCTTGAGAACAATTATTGCATTCAAGGATCCTGAGCTGGGATACCCGAGTTTGCTGAGGGAGCCTATTACCGTCAACGTTATGATGGTGCTGAGTTTCAGCGTGTCATCACTAGTACTAATGCATGCTCCATCGATAGTAGACCTGTCAACATCCCTTTTCTTTTTTTCGTTGCGCGCACTTGTTTGTCTATCCTTTTTATGACTGTCTTTTTCCAAGTGTGCTGACCTGTCACTCGGAAAAACTACTTGCTGAGTCTGTTGTAAGCAGTTGCTGTGAGATCTATGCATGCTTCATGGAGCCAACCTTCGCAGTTGTCCCACTGCATGCCAGATGTAACAGTGAAACGGCGTCCAGGTCGTTTGCATGAATTTTTCATGACTTTATTTACGCAAACTGTATTACAGATGCTAGCAAAAGCCTAAGACCGTTAAAAAAGTACACTAAAAGGCACACTAAAACGGGTAAAAATGGATAAAAACGGGTGAGATAAACTGAACTTGCCTTTACGTGAAAAAACCGAAAAAAAAACCGAATAGTAAGCTGAGGTAAAACCACAGTTAACTATTAAATTGGGTGAAACTCAAAAAAGTAATCTACTAACCGTATAGCTCAAAATAGATTCTTTAGATCAAAAATGGTACTTTTGTTGTGTAAGAACACAGCAAAAGTTTGGGAAATGCAAGACATGTTAGGACTAAACTTTGCGTTCGAAAAGCGCTGAGAAAAAATCTTTGACGTTGTTTTTATATTGGGGAGTTAGTTATTGATACACGACTTTCCCATTTAACCATCAACAATTAGGACCACCTACGCTAACGTGCGGTTGAAGATATGTGTCGACCCATTCAAAAGAAAGTTGGACCAATTGATAAATTACTTTTGACGGGACTTACACAGGCCATCAAGCCTGCTGTCCTTCTCAAGCAGAAGCTGAAAATGTAGGATATTTGTTCCAAGTGTCTCCGTTTTGTCGCTGTTTATCACTAATATTTTATTTCTTCAGGTTCATGAAGGGGAATTACGCATTTATATGTCCACCTTTTTACCATCTGTAATTCAGACATACAGTCAGAGTGCCAATATTTGTTGCCAATGTTCGAAGTACACATCAATTTCTGGTTGACTGAAGGCGCCCAACTGATATCCTTAAGGTCACTGCTGAGATTGGTTTGTTGTTATTGTGTGTAGTTAAGGTTTTTTTAGTTTTGTGCATAACAAATAAGAATATTGTTTAGGTCCTATTGGTATGCTATTCAAGATTTCATCTCCCACATCAAGAAACTCCGGTCTAGACTGCATGATTGTGTCATAATCATGATTATTTTTATTGTTTATCCGTTTCACTAAGACTGTTCTTACCAAGTGTACATACTAACTTCATTGGATTCTGTGTTTAGCCAAAATCATTGTATAACACTAGAGTGCAAATGTAAAAAAATTAAGTGGTTTATACCCATTAAGAGATTGAAATCTCCCTATTTTTGGGAAAATTTCGTCTGGTTTGGGTAAATTTAGGGAAAAACACTATAAAAAACTTAAGAAAAATTTTAGGAAAACAGAAAAAAACTCAAAATTTCCCTAGGTCTGAGGAAAAACCCCAAAGTTTTGGGGAAATTTAGGGTTTTCCCAATATTTCCCCAGAATCTAACACTTTAGGGCTTTTTCCCAAAGTTTACTCAAGATAGGGAGATTGGGTATTAACGTAAAAGAATACTAGATGTTGGTCTTTAAAAAACCTAGTGCCTAATTTGATTAGTTCCTAACACCTTCCTAAAGTCCATCCAGTGACTGACGGGGATAAACCGCATTGACATCATATATATGAAAACAAGTCCCGATTGCATTATGTGTTTTCCATTTCCAAATAAATGTATGTTATGACTAGTAGTTAATAAAATATAATTCTTTGAGTTAAATTAATAAAGTAAAGTCACTTAGGTGTTCAGGAGTAAGAGCTGTAATTTTCAGTGGAATAAAGCATATCATGGGATAAGTGAATGTTGAGTATTTTATTTTCATTTTATTTTTATTCTTTTCCGTCACTTCATGAATTTTCAGACTGAAGTTTGTCATGCTGCTTTGGTAATGGGTATGCCTTCTCATGTCAAGCAAAGTATTAAGCAAGCCCAACTGGTACTCGAATCATTGAAACAGGATCATGAACAAGCTTTATCTGCCTTAAGTACATTTTGTAACTCAGAAAACAGTCATTCATCACCAAATCTTAACACAAGTTTAGAATGTGAGAAAGTCTTTAATCAAGAGAAAATTCCAATAATTCAAGCTGCACTAAAACAAATCGAAAAGGGATTAGACGACTCAGAGGTTTTTTCTGTATAGAGTAGTTTCTAAAAATATTAAGGTTATGATTACATTTGCCAAATATATCGAGCATTTGGAAGCTGAGCTGTTAAAGGTACAGTTGCACAATCAAAGGTTAACTGAAGAAACTTGCTGGCTTCGAGATGAGCTAAAGTACACACAAACAAAACTGGAGGTAACTTTATTGTGGATATGTATAACATGGGTAATATAGGAAAACGAATCGCTGCTTGCTCAAACTGAAGTCGAAAAAAAACACCTTGAGTTTATGTTGGATTTAAAGAAATATGACATATCTTCCAACAGTTGTGATACTGAAAAAAGTAAGGTTTTATTTATTTTTCATGAAGTATTTTTCCTGTGCTTCATAAACAGATTGATCCGATTCGCTTTATTAGCTTTGTACGGAAGTAACGTTGGGAAACTAGGTTGAATTTAGTTTATTCCTTACTGACGAGTACTTATGTGGTCCCATTAAATTATAGTTTGGTGCATCAGCTAACTTCTTCATGACACATACTTTAGCGTTGACTATTCTGAGTGTAAACTCGAAATTCGTTTTACCTACCTCGGTTTGAGCAGCGAGGTAGTATCACTATTCCTAAAAGTCAGCTGTACAAACTTGTACTAGGTAAATCAGTTACAGTAAATAACGGGTAGAGCTTTAATGTGTAGTATGAATAGTAATTTCAATCTTCTGGGTTGTTTGTTAATTATGAAATATATAGAAATTACTTTTCGACCCAAGTCTAAATTGAGTTTTCCCCAGGTTCCTTTTACCTGCAAACGAATTTTTGCAGGGCTCGGCAACGTCCCACATATATAGTGCTAAAATGAAAACTAATTTGCATCTATAAGATTGTATTGGCTCGTGCTACCACTTTTTTGCAGCTCAGTGAGCTATGATCAGGAAAGACTAGCAAGCATTTGAAATTTCAGGGTACCAGGAATCTTGAAAAATTTCAGTAAAATATATCAAGCGCAGGTTAGAAATAAGAGCAAAACCTCTAGTAATAAATAAACGGATGAGTTTAAACATAAATGTATCAGGATGAGTTGCTTTATTCCCTGAAACAAAATAATTTTCAAGATTCAAGGGAAGGTACTATATTTATTTGAAGTCCACCTGTTTGAGTGATTCCCGCAATCAGTTTTATAATATGGCTCGAAATCAATAACAGTGGTTCATATTTGTTCACCCAGTATGAATACAGTTTCATACTTTTTCGAACCATACTCCTAATATTTACTTCTCATTTTCGTTACTACTACTACTACATTATTTCGACCTTTCTACCATTCGTGTTGCTAATCCCATTTCATAGTGCCGTTGGGACTTGCCAACTTGAGCTAAAGCATATTTTCCTAAGGCTATACACTGATTATGACTGACTAATTAGCGTTAGAAAACGTCTATAAATTTATATACAATGGAAATTTTGCCAGGCGATTCATCCTAAGTGAGAAAAAGACGATTCGTAGATTGAGATTTATATCACATCATAGTTTTAGATCTAGAGACGTTTCCAAATTAATTGGCTCCCATATTCGTTCGTAATAGCTTACTTGTTATTTTGCAAATAAACTGAAACTGTTGCCTTGTTTGTTTGCCATATTAAACAGTGCCTAGGAAATGTATCATGTTAGATATGACACTTTCAATAATTCTCTTTAGTCACTCCTAACGTCACATTTCTTATTGTGGCGAAAATAGTAAGGACAAAAAGGCAGACGAAAAATGTCAGCGAATAACTCTCTAAAACTATGAGGGTTAGGTGTTGAAAGTTGATTAAGTATTCTTGAGGTTGATAAAAATGATCCATGGAACTAGAAATGTATGTGAATCACTTTGAGAAACGGTTAGTTGGCTCCGGGTTCCTCATCTGTTACTCGCTACTTATCAACAGATAAAATGGGAGATAGATATCCGGGTTATGTAGCGAAGTTAATGTCCTAATGACCTAAAACTAGTGAGATCACTGAAATCTGGTGATTTTTGACAGGTCTTTAAGCAACTTATGTGGCGATCGCAGGAAGTCTAGGATGCATTGATGCCACGTCTAATAATAAAGCGTCGTATAACTTGGTGCTGCAACTTTTCATTAGTTCTAGTGGATTGGTGGCTGACAAATCCTTTATAGGCATAGGAAACCTACTTGGTCTTTTGTCCCTAAGAAACGTTTTTGAGAGTCGGTGGGCATTGCATTTAGTACTAACTTACGCTTGTTAATCTTCGTGGTGCATAGGTCACCTACCAGGATATCCAATCAATCTGAGCTGTACTTTACAGTTGTTTCCAAGTACTATTCATTCTTTCGATGCTTGCCTTCAAACCCCGGCTCAAAGTATTCGGTTTTTCTCTTTTCTTTTAGCCTTGAGCCAGTCAGTCAGCTACAACGTAGGACCAGTCACCTATATGCATCGGTCCAAGTTTCCACACCTCATTAGCACAACACGATGAACACCAAATTCATAAAGTAGTACTTCAATAGTAGTAATATATAAAAGAAAGATTGTGTATAGGGATATAGTACAGGAAGAAAGGATTAGTTGGTGGAAGGAAAGATATAAAGCATTTTGATTCCACGGTTTAAGGGAAGAAAAAGAGTGTACAGACCGGCGCCATTGGCCTTGAGGGTCCAAAGTTAGAGCTTAACTTATGATGTTTTAAAGCACTCTTTATTTTTGTCAAAACCACCAAGATCGAGCACTTATTATTAGGTAGAAGCAGTAAATCGATTTATTAGGATAGTAATCGAATAAGTTAGTGGAGACATTTCTTATATGTATTTTGTACTAGTTAAAATAAGGCCTGAACAACCAAAATAGACAATTATTGGTCTTCTAGGTTGCTAGCTGTTGTTCTAATCTTTTTCAAATGATAAGAACTTCAGTCATGATAATCGTTCAAGGCATTTAGGAAAATGTCCCAAAATTTACCAATGGATTATATGCAATCATTTTATATATCTTCCCTTGATTTGGGGTTTTAGTGTGATTTCGCAGAAATTATCCATCGATTGTATTCGTTCTTTCTGTGATTTTTCTCAGAGTATTTTAGTACCACTCACTTTTCCTATGGCTGATTTTCTTTCCCTTCCTTAATGTAAAATGTACCAACTTAAACTAACACATCTGTAGCAGGCCCTATAAATTATTTGCCTTCAACTGTCATAGATAACTTAATTGTCGTGTTCGTGCGCATAATTTGTTAAACTCACTGAATACATATTCATGTGCTCGACTATAAGTTACACTGTATGACGGTTAGTGATGCCATTCAACGATCAAAACTGAAGAAGGTGAAATGGAGTTCGGGCTAGCCACCTGTTGATTGGAATTGAAATGATTTGACCACAGAGGTATCGTGTGAATATATTTTTTCATATTTCCCTTAATTAAAACTTCTTATTCACCTTATTTTAGTAAACGTTTTCGCTAACGAAAATTCTTTGACTGATTGCAACAAAATTAATTTAGATCCATCTTTAAACATTTGGAAGATGATCCGCCGATGATGGTTGCATCTGTTCTCGGCCTAATGAGTTCTCCAAACCATTTGAACACATCTAATCATGTGGATCGATTCGATACACACAACAAATTTTGGAAACCGACTACAACAACAACTACCACTGTTTCATCATTTTCACCATACAACCACTTAGAAATGAGCGGAATAATGAATACCAGTTTACTTGATGCGGATATGGACTCACTGTCAGTAAATCGAAGTCGCAATCCAAGTGAATTCCACGGTTTAAGTGGACATCGGAATTCCCAGTCAATTTATGTTCCTCCTGGGCTTAGAACACTACATCACATAGCCTTACGTTATACAAGTCAGGGAAAGCATGATGTTGCGGCATCTTTATGTTTACAAGCTATTCGAGATTTAGAAGGATCTGGTGGTCGTGACCAAGCTGAGGTTGCTGCTCTACTGAATATCTTAGCTTTGGTTTACCGGTAAGTTGCATACACATTATAAGTTATGTTTTAAAGAGTTTTGGCTTTAATGTCAATCTATTAAATGGAAGTGACTTCATTCTAACGAACTGGATCTTGATAAACTTTGTGCACACCGAAAAATCCTGTTGGGAATTGTTATAAGTTTAGTTCATTATATATCATTGTGTGCTTATCATCAGAAAAAATGTAACTTTTTAAAATCCGATCTATTATATCCTTATTTCGATATTCTAAACACATTTGTTTAAAAATTTCATACAACTTGTTTTTTTCGGCAAATCGAAACAAAGTTTCTTTAAGCTTTTTTAAAATCATTTGTGTCCGATAATTTTATTTGTAGTTTCATGCAAACTACTTTACATTTAGTCGCTTATGTGTTCACTCGTCAGTTACATATTTCAATATCCTACTTATATCTGCTGTAATGCTGATTAAATAGGGATTTTTAACAACCATTTTGTTGGTAAGTTACTAACTAGTGTTCACTTTATTCATTTGCTTTATTCTCTGAATCTTTCATGTCTGAATAGTGATTTTTTCCTCTTTTGTCTAATGCTTTAGTGATCAAGGAAAATACAAGGACGCATCTGATATTCTCAAAGAAGTAATTAATATACGAGAGAAACTTTTGGGACCTAACCATGTGCTGGTATGTTTTTGATGTTGAAAAGTTACTTAACATTCTTTTATGAAAACAAAACGTTTGACTTAATCATCAGGAATAGAGTTCACCACTAGACTAGATCGGCTTCACCTGAGCATCAACATCATAATCAAGATATTAATCAGAAAAATATTGGGTTTCTGCAAGAAAACAAAGTAAAACGCTTATCATTCTTACCAATTATATGTAAAACTAAGTTCTCCTGCATAATTCTCATTTTATTTTTGTTCATGTAGTTTAAAAAATTTTGGAAAAAGAGAAATAAGATTTTCAAAGTATAGTATTATTAGACTCCTAAATCTCTTAGTATCCATACTTTTCGATGGGATTTAGAAGTGTCATATTTCAAAAAAATGTGATTCAAACACGTTTTATGCATTGAACTTTCTAACAAAATTTCGGAATCAATATCGTACGATCGAAGTTGCGGTAGTGTATTAATGGTTTTAATCGTTTATTCAGTAATTAAACATTTACCACAATGATGTTTTTGAAGTTTTCTCCCATGATATTGAAGCGGCTAGTAAGTATTATCTTTGTGTTGTTGTAACTTCTTCCGTTTTCTTTTATATTTCCTTTTTGCTTGCCTTTTCTTCAAAACTATTATAGGTAGCAGCTGCTTTAAACAATTTAGCAGTTTACATGCTAAAGCTGGTCGATTTACTGAAGCGGAACCGTTGTGTCGGCGGGCGCTTAGTATACGAGAAAAAGTAATTTTTTCTGCTTAAAATGACATTTGCATTTACACTTGTAAATAGTATGAATTAGGCAAGAGTTTCCAGTAACCAATATTCGATATCATCAGGTCCCGAACAAGCAGAAGAAACGACATTTCTGTTGAAGTAACTCCACAGCATTCGAAGTATTGACTATTAGGTCCTATTGCTATGGTTGCTAATAACACATCCAAATTTAAGGATATCTATAAATAAGGCGAAAAGAACAATTAGAGAACGTCGCTTTCAACCCGCTTTGCAGAAGCTACCTCCATCAAGCGTTTTAAATCTGACCGTCGTATACAGAAAGGAAGTATGGCAAACCTCTCATTTCTATTATAAAATAAATATATTGTCTTGAGATTTGTTAATTACATAGTCTCTTTATTGTAATCTATATTTCAAAAAATTCCATGAGATCCACTCACCAAGTTAACTCTGATTTTATGTTGGCTAAGTAGCTCTATTACTACTCATTCACCAATTTTTTTGTCTTTTTATTATTGTTTATGAAATCACCCACTTTGACTTCATTTTGAAGAAATTTCTAGTAAGTCTAAATTATTGTCAGTGTGGAGTTGTGGAGATCGTTGAGTTTTATTGAAGTCATGAACCCATCTAAGTTAGAACACCGTTGGAAACCTGGAAGCATTAGATGGTCGTTTCGTCCTAGTATGGGACTCCTCATTAGTGCGCATGTGCGCTCTCGCAACCGAGAATCAAATCCGCTGGGAAAAAGGAAGATAGTCGCGCAATTCTGTAGATTGGTTGAGGCTAGATTGCAAACTACTGGGTCTATTCTCAGTGGTTTAGAAGCTAAGCATTCGCCCAGGACTGTAGGTCCTGATCTCGACTCCTAGTTGCGGGGTAGTAGAAGCACACCTCCGGGTGGTACCATGCTAAAACGTAACGCCGTTGAGTGTTTCCTAGATTTCAATGGTTGCCTAACTTAGATAGGTTCATGATTTCAATTGAATTGAACTATCAATCTAAGTATGTTTTTTCATCCTGTTTCTTCTGGATTTTCCTTGTGTTTTCGAACTCAACTTCATTGATTGGTTTATAATAATATAACTAATTCTAACCTCAGGCTGTTCCCAGCTGATGAGAAACCTTGAAATATAATGAATTCTCACTATTCTGCAACTCTTATTCTTCTCACTTTATTTAAATTCACCAAAGGATCAGGATACATAAAATTAAGAATATGTAACTGATAAACCTTCTGCTCAGGTTAAAACCTTTGTTTTAAATTCCACGGCTAATTTCTATTAAAAGCATTTAAATGTGATCAGTAATAATTTTGTAGTGGTCATATAGAACATCAGATCAAATCAAACAAAGTGTGACACTTATTGGTTGGTTAGAATGAAATAAGAACTTCCAACGTTTTCTCACTAGTATGTATCATGTATCTGTAATTATTTGTATTAAAATAAGCATGTATTTATTTATTAGAACCATCTACTATTTAACGATTTCATAGCTTATATATTCCAAATATCATATTAATAATAATATCATATGATTTATTCATTTTGAAAGTTTTAGTTATATTAAGTGTGATTGATATAGAATGGAAGGGGATTGATTGGATTATTTCCAAAGTCATAATATGTAGGTGAGAGTGTGAGCGCACGAGTTAATATTTAAGTTTACACGTTACATACTTTGGTAATAGTAATAACAATAATAATAGAAGTACCCATGATAAGTTTATAAAGTCTAATTCATTTCTCGGACATATGTTTTCTGTCTAACATAAATTTTGTCATTATTTTCAAACTATAATCATGGTTCAAGGGACCTATGCAGTACAGCGTGCAATCTACTAAAATGTTGGTGTTGTGGTCTTTAAATTGGTCGCCAGCTCTACAAGTGTCCTTAAGGTTTTTACTGTCTTTAAGGAGACTATTTTCGCTAAACAATTCTTAATCATTAGGCACAAAAAATAACTAGAAATCGCTATCTAAGTCTTGATTAATTTGTCTTTATAGTTCACTAACAAACATTGGAAAATGTAATACTCATGATATATATATATATATATATATATATATATATATATATATTCAGTTGTTGATCAAAAGTCACATTGAAATTAACATGTTCTGTGAAATCTATCGTGTTCTAGTTTGAATTATGTGTAGGTTTACAAGAAGGTACATGTTTTTGCATGATTTTTCCATGGGAATGTATCTTTGATTAAAAGAATAAATCTTTGTTTCTCATTTCTGCAACAATTTTCACTATTCATTTCTTTGTGTAAAATAACAGTCATATGATACTAATAATATTGGTAATAATAATTATAATTGTTACTAGAGCTCACAATATTCATTTTAAAAAAGACTTACGAAATCCTGCTAATTAGAGATGTATATGAAGAATAGTGTTGAGCTGAAAAAGTGTATGAAATCTGCGATCAATCTGAACTTTATTGTGTTTGCAAGCATGGCGGTGTCAGTAGAAGCTAATGGTTAGTCATATGGCTTGAAGTCCTTGTGTATCTTGATTTCTGACAATGCTACGTTAAGTCAGATTCACTTGTTTGAATACAGACAAATACAAATCTAAATTTTAGCCAATTAGCTATTATGTCTTAGTTTTTCTTCCTTAATTCACATTTAAAGTTTGATAAAGAACAGGGATTAAAATTTACTTGAGATTTTTTAAATTTTTCCCTTGGTTGCGTTCATTCTATCTCTGTAAACAAATTTTCCATTCTTCTATGCTTGTACATATTCTATACAATAAATACACAAATTTGGAAAGTTCTTAAGACAGATTATTTCTTTTCAAAGGAATCAAGCTTTCCTATGAAGACCGTAAATACTGCGAAAATGATGCAACGCTAGGACAGTAGTCAGCTTCTTGTATCTTCTGTGTTTTCTATTCAGTAGTTTATTGTTCGTATGGCTGACGATCAATTGAACTTAGGAAAATCGTCTGTGCATATAATTGTAAAACGAAGCAATTAAGTGACTATTTTCTGTAAACCTTCAAGTGTCTCGAACAGTCTACACAGGAATAGGAAAAGCGTATTTGCATAAATGGTCGATAGTTCAGAAATGATGAAGTTTATATACTGCAATTCTTATAAACTAAAGTACTTTTTAAAATCCTCAGTTTGTATATACTCCAGGCAGATTATATACGTAGTTTTCTTAAATATAATCAGGAATATTATCTTGTTTAGCCGAGTTAAGTTTGATATCATTATAATTGATTATTATTATAAGGGACCAGTACTCTCCCACTTTCATAACAAATCACCAACATGTACTAATGAGTCAGTCAATTAGTCAAGGAAAAAGGATCTAGGGCAGAAATGCATAGACCCCAAAATTAACACATAGAAAGTGGAAATTAACAAAATGAAAAGCTTTGAAAATGAAGACAATTAACGTCAGGCGCAGTAAATAGATAAAGACAGGAATTATAATTCAAAATGAACGAATGAGATCAAAGAATGAAACGCATGAAAGGATAATGAACTCAAAATTTATAGAAAGATAAAGAATAAGTGCGACTAAATCTCTACAATCGATTTTTGATTAGATTGTCTAAAGTTCTCAAACCAAAAGCTATGTATTTCCTAAACATAGGTCATTTGATGAATCATTCCCATGTCTTAATTTGACGCTCTATGCACATTTAATCTATTATGTCATCACTTATTAGTTTTGATTCTTAGCGTTCGCACTATTACTAAACAGGCGAGATTATAATTTATGGACGAACCAATCAGGTATAAGATAACAGGTCTAGGATTTTGGCGCGAGATTCACCCGTCAATTTGGCTAAATAGAGTTTTGTCATTTTAGCTGATATTAGTTCGTGATGAAAACCCTTAATCTAATTCCTAACCCTAACCATGAACTGTATATCATAATTCTAATTCCTCACACTGGTTTATAACCCTCATTTGGTCCTGGTTATTAGGTGGACACTCTCAAGGTCAGTTTAGCATCACTCAAAGGTCGTTCATTAATTATAGTCTCATCACTAATCATTTTAATCCTGAGTGTTAGATTTTAGAAAGTGATTTGCAATACGGAAAAAGTTCCAAACAATCATTCAATTTTCTGTATGGTATCATATTTCTTTAGCCAATGTTATCACAACATAATATATATCCACAAATTATTCAGTTCCTTCTCCTTTGCATCTTGAGATTAATCACTTTCATCAATCAATCCATCTCAAATCGTTGCATTAAATATTTAATTCTACTTCAGTCTGTTTTTATCCTACTGGTTTTGTCACTCAATATAGTTTAGCAATATTTTTCGTATTTTATATGTTCTTAAAATTATTCAAGTGTTTATTTAAGAATAGTAAAGTATTCAAAAGTTTTGATTATGAGTTGTGTTTGATTTCCTTTTGTCAACTTCAAGATTTCAGTTACTTTGTTAACATGATTACGTTGCTTGGGTGAATGTAAATATGTTTTCCTTATTAGTTTATTCAAAGTGTGTATTGATCGTTTTACCCTTCACTTTTCTTGTTTTGATCAAATTTCAGGCTGATTGTATAACCTCTCTATTTTTCTCAAATTTCCGCCGATAAGAAATTTGTATTTCGTATGGAGAAGATTAACATAGAACTCCTGCTTAGATTAAAGTGGTTTATTAATATTTACATACATGCACACACACGCTATCTAAAATCTCAGTTTTATCACTTCAAGAACAGATATTTGGTTTGAATCCCGCGTGCAAGATTGTGGATGCACACTTCTGAAGAGTCCCATCCTAGGACGAAACGACCATCCAGTGTTTCAGGGTTTTCAATGATGGTCTAATATTGATCCATTCATGATATCAATCTAAGCTCAACAATCTCCACAACCCTTTACTGATAAAAAAATTAGAATGTATTCACACGATAGATTTCGGAATCCTATGTTGCCTTTAATTTTATTTTGGTTAAGTATATTGTTGTTGTTCTCGTTTATAAATGATTACTTCTAATTTCGGAGGGTTTGTTGCTGTTGAAATTGTACAAGACAGGTTAAGTTGGTTGAATCTAATAATTCCCAATCAACTGATTAGGCTGAATTCAGTTTTTTATTTTTGGGAAAAGAAAGCGAAAATCACTAACTTATGTAAGTTCAAAATTGGAACTTAAAATTGTAGGGAAAATATTCATGATCTAATATAATATCAGTAAATGTGGATACTTTCTGCTAACATGAAAAATAAACGTTTTTTCCTGTTGTACACTGATTTTACTGATTTGATGATAACCGGTAAGAGTCCTAGTTCTAATTTAAGCAACTCACAATTGATTGATCACTGGGTGGTGATCAATGTCATGCTTGTCTAGTCCTTATTAGTGCAGATCGAATGCTGTGGCCACCCGTCTAGGTGACTAGACACTGCGGGCACTATGTATTGAGGTCGATAGCATTCGATCTGCACTAATGAGAACTAGACAAGCATGACATTGATCACCACCCAGTGATCAATCAATTGTGATTACATCTCAGTCCTACAGGAGGTTAGTCACGGCTCGGATAGCTTAATGGTAACGTCTCTGACTGTGAAGCTGGGTGACACGAGATCGAATCCGCCAGGGAGCACCAGTTTCGTCAAGATTACAGGTACACCTTGCTGACGAGTGCCAAGTAGCACGAAACCCGGGTCCAGCGTTTCCTGTTGACTACCTCCAACCACTATCTAAATTTAAGGAACTCTCTCGACAACACGTGATAAATATTCTGTTAAATCTAATTAAACAATTGTTTAGTCCTTCTAGGTTATCAGTATTTATTCGTTTAACATCACTTCATAAACTGAAATATTTTCCTGTTAGTATTATTTACATAATATGATTAATTGTAAGATTTAATTGTGATCATATTGCTGTATACTTGTAATCCTATGGTTTTGACTAGGGATAGTTCGTCTTATTTTTGTATTGTTTGACAGTTATTATAATTTATGCATATAAGTGCCAAGTTCTACTTTGTGTGTATGACTGGCTGACTGACTATTATAATTTAAGCATGGTTTAACATTGTCTAGTTTACAAATCCTTCCAAAACTTACTGAGTTACACTTTATACTAAACAACTGTATGAATTTAATGCTTTAACATAGTTAATACTTATGAAATACTGGTTAAAGGAGAGGACTTCCAACTATTAGATCACAAATTAAAACTCCACTTCAAATGTTTCAGTATAAGTTTGTGTAATAGTGTCAATAAATCTCACATATTGGGTGACTGAAACCGGAGTAAATAAGGTAATCGGTAGATGATTTATACCATTTATTTCCTTATAATTCACTGTTCAGTATTGAAATCATTTTTTTTTCATTATTCCATTAAAAACCTATTTGATTTGTATATTACTTAGTTTCAGAATAAAATTGTTAGGCGTCAATAATAGATATTTTTTAGTCTTACGGAATCTTAAAATGAATAATGTGGATAGCTTATTTTAACCAATATTCTCAACACAGTTGACTCCCATTTTATCGGTGTATTAAAAGAAAATCTTATTTTAATAGAATGTTCATGAAATGATGATCATGAATAATTTGTGATTTTGTTGTTTAGTGAATATGAAAGTTAACCATTATTTTTTGAAGTTATTTTTTAATTGAAAAGGGGATCAAAATTCATTATTGATTGTATAGTTATTTCTTTCTATCTCAGAAATAGTTATCAGTTTCTATTATCGATCACTCTCGAGATTATGGTTTTTGAGTTTTGTAGTTAGTGTTTGATCATTCAGTTATTGGATAATAATTAAGTAATGTACTTCACAATTGATCGCTACTATCCTTTAATCTCATCACTGTGTGTTGAGAAATACACTATTTTTCCAAAATGGAATTTTTCTTTATAATTATCATTTCTTTAACTAGAGCTGGATCATCACATTGAGTCGTTCATTTATTGTCCATAACAGTCAATATTTGGTAAATATTCTCATTTCATTGTCTAATTCTACCATTAGAACTTTGAACAAATCTATTCTTGAGCACATTACTTATGAACCATTTAAATAAAACTGAATAATCTTACGATAGTAACTGGTTTTAAATGCTTTTTCTTGTACATAGTGAACTATATATTGAGATTTATCGAATTCTCATAACCACAGTTTAATGAAAATGAATTTTGTGATTTATTTATTATAACATTAGAAACTATATCTCGGTATATCACTTTTGTGTATACCATTTCGTTTTTTTTGTTTTGTTTGAAAGTTATTAGGTGCAGATCATTTGGATGTAGCGAAACAATTGAACAATTTGGCTTTACTTTGTCAAAGTCAAGGGAAATTCGATGAAGTATGTTCTATAATCTTATTGTTAATCTTTAATTTTTTTTATCATAGTGTTATCCATGTATTACTTATTATCGTATCAATGGAATGATATCCTAAGACTTTAAAATACGATTCTCTTTCATATTTCATGTAAATCCAGTATCTCTGGTGTAATCAGTAATTTTTATTACAGTAAAAATAACTCAGATTAATGGATTATTTGTTCTCAGTTGCACGATATTACTCAATCATATGTTTAAGGTTAACGAGGGAAAAGAATGACTGGGATGTTAATTATTGACTTCCATTTCTATCCTAATTACTTTCTTATCAATAACATAACTCTTTGTGATGATATTAACACTCGCAATACTTAGTTATAAGCCGAATTAGTTAACGTGTTAATTTACTTCTAAAATGTTTGTCACTGGAATCTAACAGAGTGGTTCAACTGGAGATCCGGTGTTTATAGTTTCGAGAAATCGGAATCAGGCGTTGGGTTACTCTAGTGAGATTTTTTTGTATATGGTTCTATATTCCTGGAAGAAATATAAAAAGGTGTTATGAAGTACTTAAAGCTGTACAAGATAGAAATCGCAGATCATCAAAGCTGATGTAATTACAGTATATTATCATAACTTGCAAGATATTTTGCGGTTTTTTATGATAGATTTTGATCTTACTTTGTTAGTGGGTAGCTTTTTTTAGCAAGGTTTTTCACGGGATAGGGTTGCGGACCCCATTCCCAGCCCTCTTCCTTTATCCGGGCTTGGGGTCGACAGTAACCCTAGAAAGGCCAAAGTCGAAGTTTTTGATCCTAGTTAGTCAATAATATGTAACAATTGGGTAGCATGCCATTTGGGAAAGGTGTATGTTTATTCTTTTCGTAAAAACATTTCAACGACCCTTTTATTCGGATTCATTAGCATTAAGAATAAATCCATATGTCTCGACCCTAGAGGTTCTCAGTTTAACATTGTGATAGGTGATTAGGGTCACCATCGGATTTTTCTAACATGGTAGAATCAAAAGAACTGATAAATAATGGACTTGTGAAAAGTGAAATGAACTATATTTTATTATTTTTATGACCCTAGTTCGATAATGAAGAGTACGATGATCACTAGTTATGAACAAATTACCTATGGAAAACCATTGTACCGGTTTTTTGTTGAATAACATTACATGATATCGCCATAACTATCAAGGCTTAGTTACATATCCCTCCAGTTCTCTCTACTTTCCTCAGGTTTTATATATTCCTGTTCAGTACTCCAGTTATTCAGTTTCTGTTGAGATTTCAAGCCTATCAAACTTATGGAAATGCATTGATCGTACTTAATGTAATGCGTTTATCTAGTTGAGGTTTGGCTTTTTCTTCCTATACTCCATAAACTTTTGTTTCATCTTCATAATCGTAACTCAATTTGTTTTGAATACTAATATGCTGGTTCATCTATGAAAACTATATCAGTTAAGAAAGATTTGGATTTGTTCAACAATGATGCTTTTGTCCAACAAATGTTGTTTTTAGTATAAGTTTTAGATGAATCTATGTTTGTGTATTTCTTTCTGTGTACCATGTATGTTTACTGTCATACAAAAATGTTTTGCCTTTTTTGCTTGCTTATTTCCTTCCTTCCTTTCTTCCTTTCACTGAGTTCACTTATCTAATTGATTCATCTTTCCATTCATTTATAAACTGGTCAATAGCGCTCTTATTTCAATTAATCTGTTAAAAAAATGAATTCTGTCTATATTTTCATTTTTGAACACTTTTGAAATATAAACTCTCCTTCCACCATTTTTCAGCTAGCATATGATAGAACCCATGTAAACTTTTGTTCCTTAAGAATTTTTGTCAATATGTATTATAGTTTAATTTATATTCTATTTTCTAATAAGTCTATTTGTTTTACGGCCAAACCAAAACTTGGCATCGATGCTTGATGACACTAACTTCTGGTCTGAGCCATGTTGGTAGATGCAGACTACTTGTTTGGGGTCTGGGCGACTATCGTAGCCAATGGTTGGAGACTTTTTGTGACATGGCTCAGAATCGATCACAATGGCATCGGTGCATACACTCTCTGTCTTCCCTTAAACTAAGAGATTAAAATCGCTTCATATCTTTCTTTTCATGAACTAATTCTTTCTTCCTGTACTATATCCTTATTGCAATCTTTCTTTTATATATTACCACCTCTGAATTAACTACATTTATGAGTCTGGTGTCCATCTTGTTGTGTTAATGCGGTATGGCAACTTGGACCGATGCATTTATGTGCCTGGTCTTACTTTGTAGCTGACTGACTAATATTTGTTTTAATGAACTGAAAATAAGCGTAATTAGTTAGGTTATTGCTAATGTGAATTATGAATAGTTCGTGTTTTTGTTTAAGTTGTATCATGAAAATACTGTTGTTATATAAGAATACACTTCAGGATAAATATTCAAGTTTAAAACACTTACGCCTATCACCCCTCGTAAAGGAGCATAAGCCACTGGCTAGCATTCTCTATCGAACTCTATCCTGTGCGATCCTTCCCATTTGTTATTCATTCTTTTGATATCTGGTTCCAATTCCCGACGTAGTGTGTTTAAAGCAGGATATTAGTTATTTAAATGTGAACAATAAATTTTATATCTGAAATGTTCGATGTATAATATAGTTCTCTTTTGTTATATCCATTTAATGACCGGATTAATTTGTGTATTTTTTGTAGTTTTCACTTGTTTCTAACACTAGTATTTGTTCTCAGAAAATTATTTATTACTAGTTTGGGTTTTATTTAATTTTTGTAATATGTTGGCATCTTGAAATTAATGAATAAGAAACTTGTCATGTTCAAGTTATGACGTGCAAATCTGTTGTTTACTTACGTGTTACATCTAAACTATTGATTTTCATTAAACTATATTCGTAATTGTATAATGAACTTTCGCTTATGAACTCTAGTTTTGTGCTAGTGTTTGAGCCCATAAATGGCACTATAAAACAGAACGACATTTTCACTGTGAACATACGTTGGCCTAGTCCACAATATGTTCCTTCTGGAAATAATAATACATACAAGTCTTATATAACTTTTAATACTGCTTAAATGTTAAACTGAAGGCAGCCTCCGTTCTCTCTCTTGCGAGGTCAGTGTATTACATGAAATTTATTAAGATAACGTATTTTTCCAAGAATCTAATTTTAATTCACATCTGTTCTATTTGGAGTCTACAAACGTCAATTTCAGTACATTAATCTTCAAATAAACAATGGGGATTCGTAGCTATACGGTTCGCCGTCTATAGAAAGATAAGATAAGTGAGTTTTCTTCTAAGTGCTATATATCACCTTTTTCTCTGTGGCAGAGGTTCTTTAGATAACTGACGAAACTCCTCAGCCTCTATGACCTGTGACATGATTGTGTGTGATCTATATAAAGTCTGTTTTCCTTTGATTATAGGGTCAGGCAACATTAATTAACTTTGCTTCCAGACACTTTAATAAGATATAAAATACAAAGCAACGATTGACTGACAGGTGCTAATTGCCTGCTTCCTTCAGACAGTCTATTAATCTCACAATCACCAGTTTATTTTTATTATCTCGTTAATAACTTCATCACACTCATACACCCATACAATTTTCTACTCTGCAACAGTTGCTAACGAAATACTACACAATAAAGCTTTTAACGTCTTAACGAAATAATAATAAACAGAACGATTAAGCTTTCTAATCAAATTTTGAAATCCTAATTCATGAAATTTCTGTTGTGTTGTTGCGATATGCAAATAATATCGAAGTTTAACTCTTTGCTTAAGCTAATATTTATATATTTACATATATTTGTGGCTTCGAACTATACTTCTATTGATTGGAGCTAAGCTGAAACTAATTATGAGTTTTAACAAAATATGTTAGCCTTGTTTCAGTAGGCAAAGTGTATGAATGTTGTTATATTAACAAGCAAGTGAGCAACGACTGTGGGTAAACTAATTGGACGCAACAATGACGTCTTCAGAGTCTCTCACTGTCAAGACTATGATGGGGATCGTCTGTATGCATTTTCTCATGAACAATCACTTATGATTAGTCAAAAATACTCTTAAATTTACACTACCTTATTGTCTAACGTGACAGTCTTCAGCATCCACCTAACGACGAGCATTTGATAGTTCTATGGAAGATAATTCCTTATATGGAACTTCAGTCATCCACTGACCCCATATTTGAATTAGTTCAAGAAATAGAAAACAAGTTTCTGTTCTTAATTTTGAAATGACGAGTAGTAGGGAAATGTACACTAGACAGCCAATATAGCAAACGAACTAGTTCTTTCTTTCTTTAACTCAAATAGAGCATAGTATGAAGATAAATTAAGTGCACACTGTATAAGAGTTTACACAACACCTTAAAGTAATAGTCATTAGTCCTAATCGTCATTCTATGAGGTTAGCTAGTTTTCATACACATGTTTTAATTTCTTTCTCAACTTCGAAAAATAATATAACATTTAATAATAAATTTATTTTTTGTTATACCCCATTGAGTAGAAAAATTGTATTTCTTACGTTTCGTGACCTAATGTAAGCCAATTCTTCAGAGTAAATAAATAACTGAAATTAAATTAACACAAGTTTAAACATGTATGGCTTACATTAAGTCACGATACATCAGAAATACAATTTTTCTACTCATTGAATTATAGTAAAAAATATATTAATTGTTAATTCTCTACTCAATGTCCAATTTGTTTGAAAAGCCATCAAGTTCAGTCTTAGTACTGATACCTATAAGTTACATTTATTCTTACTCTGCTTTATTTTTTACTTCCGAACAACGTTTTATGAAATACCATTCTTTGCCAACATCAACATTTTATTTTATATTGGAATTCTTTATTGAATCAGTAATATTCCAAAAACTAGATGATAATATACGGTGTACGAGGTAAACAAATCATGTCTATCATATTTCCATTTTGGAATTTAGCAAAAGAAAACAGTGATTGGACATTCAATAT